ACCCCATATGTCTGTCTATTGTTTGGCTGGAAGTCACCAGAGTGAATTCAGTTCCAAACCTGTAGGATAACTAGCCATAGTCTCAGGGCTCTCACCAAGCTCCATCAGACCAGCAACCTTCTTCTATAGCATTCTTGAAATAACGGAATCATAGAGACTGGAGAGCATGTGAGTAGTTGCCCATGGTGAGGGATGAGAGGTGGGTGGGGGTGTTGTCATTATAAAGAAGTAGCACAAGGGAGATCTTTGGGTGATGGAATCAAGTTCTGTGTCCTGATTGTGGTGATGGTTACACCAATCTAACCAAAACCAAACCAAACTCACTTCCATAGAGTTGATTCTGACTCATAGCAACCCCCATTGGGTTTCTAAGGTGGTAAATCTTTATGGAAGCAGGTTGTCCCATCCTCCTCTGAGGAGTAGCTGGTGGGGTTTGATCTGCCACCCTCCTAGTTAGCAGTCAAATACCTTAGGCGCTGCACCACCAGAGCTCCCTTTTACCAATCTACACAGGTGATAAAATGGCACAGAACTAAACCCACACACTTTACTGTCAATTTCCTGGTTTTGATATTATTATAGTTATGTTTATATATAGTTATGTTTCCATTGGTGGAAACTGGGCAAAGGGCACACAAAATCTCTCTGTAACATTTTTGGAAATTCCTGTGAATCAATAATTATTTCCAGATAAAAAGTTCAAAATACTCTGAATACTCTGTTGAGTGAGCTCTGAGAGACTCATCTTTCACACTTACAAAAAGATTTCTTCCATATTCCTTTCCCCTGCACTAGTGAACCTCCTTCAATGTTTAAAAAGGCTCCAAGCCACTGTTCCTATTTTTCCTTTCTTCTACCTTCCTTGGCTGTCAATGAGCTGAGGCTCTGGACCAATTCACAGCTAATTCAGAAGATGAAACCAAATGAAACACATTGAGGCTAAATCCTTCCTGGAGCTCTATGGGCTCTGAGGGGCCCACAACAGTCCTGAGGAGCTCTGAGAAGGGCAAGAGACCATTGACCCACCTGGGCACTCCTGTTGGCCTTGGCTGACTGGCCAGGGGCAAAGGCCAAAGCTTCAGCTCTCCACCCCACTTTCCAAACCACCCATCAGGCTGCAGGGGTGGGGATGTTGGGTGGCGGGGAGATATCCATAGACAAGTCAAGTCAAGGATGCAGGGCCCACCCCTTTCGCATCATGCTCATTTTCGCTACCTTTGCCTGGGAAACCCAATGCGATTGGTGACTGGGAGCATTTCAAGGAAAGATGTGGCTGTTAGAGGCTGTGCTTTCAAAGGGCTTGGAGTCCACAGGCCAACAAGAAGCTTTTGGGGAGTACAAGGGATGTCCAGGTTGAAGGAGAGGTAGAGATCAAGAAGGAAGAGTTCGTACCTTTAAAACAAGGTCTGAATCCTCATGCCTTCCAATTGCCGTTCTTTTATTCAGGACAAAAAAGCCTTCTGCACTCTTTAGATAGGCTTTCATACTCTCTGTTTTCCCTGGAAGATTTTCAGAAACAAATCGTGTTAGAAAAACTCAGTCCTCTAATTATTCAAAACCATGACATTTAGAATGAATGGAGTACAGCATAGAGCAATGGCCCGAGGGAGAAGTCTGCAGAGGTAAGAGTACAAAGATGGGTGTAACACTGATTGTAATTACAGTTCTGCATTTTTTTTCATTATTAATTTTTTTATTGTGTTTTGGGAGAAAGTTTGCAGAGCAAATTCATTTTTCATACGGCAGTTCATGTACATTTTGTCTCATGACATTGATTGCAATTCCTCACAACATAACAGCTCTATTCCTATTTCCTCCCCATAGTTATCTCTTCCCTGTGTCCTTCCCTCCCATGCACTTTGGCCGCAAGCTGTCTCCCTATGCAAACACTGACCTTCTGTTCTCCCATGATTGATCCTCCAAGTAGTGTCTCTACCTGATGTAAATGTTCACCCCATATGCCTGTCTATTATTTGGCTGGAAGCCACAGGAGTGAGTTCAATTCTAGACATAGTCTCAGAGGTCTCACCAAGCTCTATCAGACCAGCAAACCTGGTCTTTTTTTTTTATGATTTTGAGTTCTGTTCCACATTGTTCTCCAACTCTATCCAAGATCTCCTGCACCGATCCCACTCCGAGTGGTTGACAGTGGTAGCCGGGCACCATCTAGTTCTTCTGGTCTCATGGTCACATAGGCTGAGGAGTGTATGATCTACCAGTCCCTTGCACTAATTGTTTCCATGCAGCTTTGGTTTTCTTCATTCTTCTTTGCTCTGGATGAGGAAAGACCCATTGTTGCATCTAGATGGCCGCTTGTAAGCTTTTAAGATCTCTGTCACTACTCACCAAATAGGATGTAGAACAATGTTTTTGTGTAGTATGTTATGCTAATTGGGCTTGATGTCCCTTGTGACCATGGTCCTGAGCCCACAGGTCCAACTTCTTGCTCCTTCTGGGTAGCTGGCTGTGGCCAAGAAGCCACCATGACCTTGTCCTTTGTCAGCCCTACTATACACCTGGATGTTCTTACAGCACATACAAATAGGCATGTAGAAACATTGTCTGCTAACCCTATATATGGTCATGGGCACACTATCCTCTTCGTACACATACCTAATCGTTCAGCCTGTCCACCCATCTATCCATCCGTAGATCAATACTTATCATCACTGAGAATGCAGTACTTTATACCAGTTCTGCATGTTTTTAAGACTATCTTTTAACAGTGATAATTAGCATGAACTTGGTTCTGATAATCAGAGGACCATACTTAAGTAACTCAGAGCACAACAAACAAAAGCTAAAACAACACAACTAAACAAAAAACCAAATTCACTGTCATGGAGTCGATTCGACTCATAGTTGACCCCTCCTTGGGTTTCCGAGGTAGTATCTCTATGGAAGTAGATTGCCCAGTCTTCCTTCTGAGGAGTGGCTGGTGGGTTTGAACTGCCAGCCTCCTGGTTAGCAGTCAAATGCCTTAGGCACTATGCCACCAGAGCTCACAACAACAAATCTGAATTCTACTGATCACTGTTCTCTATCTCCTAATAAGCTTAAATGGGGTTCGTCATCTGACTACATCAAGTGTCCACTCAATAGTCCTAAGTCACCACTTACTAGCTATT